GCTGGAGGGGTTGTGGGAGGGGGGATGGGCTAAATAGGTAAGGGACCCTAAGGAATCCACTCCTGAAATCATTGTTGCACTATATGCTAACTAATTTGGATGTAAATTTTAAAAAATAAAAAATAAAATTAAAATAAATAAAAAAAAATCTTTTCTCGTCTGATATGGAAAGAAATAATACCTCACAGGCTTTTCAATTTCATTTCTCTGGTTCTGCGTGAAGTTGAACATATTCCCAAATGTCTGTTTACTATATGTGTTTCTTCTGTAAAATCCTTGTCCACATCCTTTGCCGGTTTTTCTAATTGGTATTTTATCTTTTTTGTATTGATTTGAAGGAGCCCATACTACTTTCTAGGTGGCAAAATTTTGTTAAGTATCTTTTACCGGTTTATGCCTTGATTTTCAAGAAGAGTTTTAAATGTTAGGAAGTAAAGTCTTTCAATTTCCCTCCCCCCGCCTTTAGTCTTACTCTCAGATGGGTTCCCTCCTGTGTTTACTTCTAGTGTTTTTATAATTGCATGTTTTAAAAATATTTAACTTTTTATCCATGTGGGATGTATTTTTGTATATGGCGTGACGTGCTGTGGAAACTCTAAATATAGAATCTATGTACTAGAAATAACTTCAGTTTTTCCACTGTCTCCCATCATAGGGAAGCGCTTGGAGAATATTTAGATGGAAAGAAAGAGAGTGAGGAAGATCAAAGCAAGAGCTACAAGCAGAAAGAAGAAAGCAGACTGGTATGAGCTGGGTGGCAGATGGGTCCCATCAGCCTGGGACACTAGGGAGCTGGGTGTGATGTCATGGCTTTCGTACTTTGCTAGAAGAATCTCAATAGAGATCCCATGTTCCTGCCTGTAGGCGGAAGTGAATTTGAACCTTTCCCATTTTGAGAGCTCTCTAGGAGTGAGCTTTCATGTTATCTGATGGACTGTTCATAAGCTCAAGTCCAAATGTTTAGGCTGCCCATTCAGGGCCTACCATTCCCATCCTAATTTCACAGTCTTCGGTCCCACTGGTACCTACCTTGGGCCTTGACTCTGGCTTGGCTGATCCACTCGCTGACCTCCAGTGGGGCTCTGCTCTTCCGGTTGTGTGCCTCTGATCATCCAGAACGCTAAGCCCCTCCCCTCCTCTCTTCCCCCCTCTCCTCTACCTTTCTTTTCTCATCTCCTCTCATCAGGATGCCTTCCCGTATTTCAAGACCATCTCAAGTCCCAACTTGGATACACGTCCAATACTTCTTTGTGCCACGCCTTTAATTTTAGACCATTTTCTCCCTTCTGTGACTTCAAATGTGTGTGCCTGCAGTGTCCCCAGTGTGTACACTATGTATGCCTGTGGAGTAGTACAGAGCTCGGACTCCATATCAAAAGAAATTTGTTGATGGCTCTCCCACGGCAATGCCAGGGCTCCTGGGATACTTAATAAAGGACTTGGAACAAGAGGTGCAGGAAGAATAAACAACAGTTGCAATCAGCAAGAAGAACTGGCAAAGTGCTGCGTTTAATTAATTGCTAAATGAATATCAGAGGCACTGGGACTGTAGGAATTGGGGTAAGGAGGAGGGCTCCCCAAGGGGGGGCTGATTGGGAAAGGTTATATGGAGAAAGTGGGATGTGGGCTGCGTCTTGGGAAAAAAAGTGGGACTGAGAAAAACAGAGAGGAGAGAGATGATTCTTGGCAGAAATTGAAGTGCACTTGGAGAAAAAAAATATTCAACTTGCTTCAGGTCATTACAGAGCATAGAGATACACGGAGAGCACTGCACGGTATGGTGTTAAGGATAAGATACTTTACGGCCGTGGAAAGAAGACCGCAGTGCTGTGTGCTTTTGTTCCAGATCTGGTGCTTCCTGTGAAATAGAGTCACGCCATGTGTTTTTTCTGATGTTACTTCATCAAAGGGTCGAGGATCTCTGGGCATTGCTGGTTAGGATAAAAAGGATATTGTATTAATCTGGAATGTACTGTTATAGTTTCTACTGATATGATCTTGAAACTACCAATACGCGGTTCATCCTGAGCACTCTTTGAGTGTAAACCAGAAGAGATAATATTGTTTTCATTAGTAGTTTCTCCAGCTCCCTTTCACTTGGGACTTAAGTCATGTAACGTGTTGGCATAGAAAAGAAATGTATAAAAACCAAATGCTCCCTTCCTCAATATCCAGATATTAATCACCACTTTTGCCCTAAGACTTGGACAGGAAGGGCCCCTGTCGTTGGCTTTGCACCTTATCAATCATTTTTAACCGGTGGTTCTTTTGTTTCCTGTTTAATCTGGGTCTGCTCCAATTTTATAAAGATGTCTTTCCAGGTTTTCTCTTAGCAGCTTTATTGTTCTATCATTTACATTTTGGTCCATAATCTATCTAGAATTGATTTTTTTTTAATGTTTATTTTTGAGACAGAGAGAGACAGAGCATGAACGGGTGACCATGATCACGAGATCATGACCTGAGCTGAATGCTTAACCTTAAGACTGAGCTACCCAGGCGCCCCAATAAAAGTACAGTTGGTTTTTATATAGTGACCTGATGTTCAGTTAACCCTGTCAAATTCACTTGTTAATTCTAAGAGTTTACCTGTGGTTTCTTTTGTTTGTGTGTTTATTTTTTACATATAGAATCGTATCATCTGAAAGTGACAGTTTTAGCTTTTCCTAGGTCTGTTGATCTGTTGGTGACTGTAGCATTTTCAGTTTTACTTTGAGTCTGAGATACTCGATGCAGAAATTTCTCATGTTTGCATCGTCTGAGCAGACAACAGAGAATCGCTCAAAACTACAGGAAAGCCTTTACTTCCGTAGGCATGGAAAACCATTTGGTACCAGTGATAAAACTGCAGCCATTTAAAAAAAAGTCTGGAATACCCCGGATATCCAGGTGAAGGCTCCATTCTGTATTCAATAAAAGTGCATTTCCAGATGTCTTTAGAAGGATGAGATGAGATAGAACCTCTGATCGTCTCAATGACTCCTTCGTGCGGTGATGTTTATTGGTTCTCGTTCAGAAACGATTTGAGAGCTGGAGAATTTGTGAGTTCCAAAACAGACTTGGAAAAACCCAGGCATAGCCTAAGGATACCTGAACTTTTTGTTGAAAGCGCGTGGTCACCCAAAGGCCAGGAGTAAAGAAACGGAGTGTGGAATTCAAAGAGGGAGTTAATGGGGGGGG